GGTCTGGACTGGGATCTGCACGTCCGGATTGTAACCATGGTAAAATATTACAATTCTGAATTGCCTAGGGGCAGTCACTTTCATGATGACATCTCAACGCCGCCACCTTTCTTTCTCAAAAAAAAAAAAAAAAAAAAAAAAAAAAAAAAAAAAAAAGAAAGATTGACCTGTTGTGAGCTGAAGCGACACAACAAATATTCTCCACCCAAAATACAGGCATCGTCAGATCCTGTCTCGTTCGGCGGCCAATGCGAGCTCCACCCCTCTCTCCCGTCTAAAATGTGGTCTTATCCCTTGGCTAACAGTGGGACTGTACCCCATGAACCCTAAACCCTAAACCCCAAAAAAATGAAAAAAGAGAGAACCTAAACACACTGGCACAGGCTGGCTTCACACAGTTCATCAAAAAAAAAAAAAAAAAAACCCTTTGGCACATCCACACATCTCATATTTGAATGGTTATTTGTTCGTTGGATTTGCTGTGGATCACGGATATCATCACAAGTGCCGTAATCATCAACTGGCACATGCAACCTTTGGCACATCGTGATGGTGTTTAAAATCAAATCTCTCTCTCTTTCTCTCTCTCTCTCTCTCTCTCTCTCTCTCTCTCTCTCTCTCTCTCTCTCTCTCTCTCACACACACACACACACACACACACACACACACACACACACATATGTATTCCCTCCGCCAATTCCTGCTTCGTGTCAACAGAAATATGCTCCTGGACAGGAAAAAAAAAAGAAGGTACGCTGCTTCTGCAAAGACGCAGAGACTCAACACACCACTGTACACAAGTTGAACAACACTCACTCGATTTGTCCAGACCAACTCCCCCCCCACAACCCAGGAAAAAAAAAAAAAAAAAAAACTCATTTGATGAGCACGGACCAAAATTTTGAGGAGATACGGGTCATACTGAAGTGATTTTTTTATTTATTTTTTGAACTGGATATTTTTTAATATTTTTTCCCTCCCCAGATTCCTGCTTCCCCTCAACTGAAATACGCTCCTGAAAAAAAAAAAAAAAAAGAAAGAAATTTAAAGAAAGAAAGAAAAAAACGTAATTTCCTGGTGCAAAGACTCAGAAAAAAACTTTTTTACGTAACGACACTCACTCGACTTGCGCAGACCAACTCCTCGCCCCCCCCCCCGAAAAAAAAAAAAAAAATTCAACAACAACAGTCATTCGATTTGTATTGCAGCAAAATTTTGAGTAGCTACGTGTCATTCTGAATCTGAACTGATTTTAAAAAAATCAAAAACTTGGTAACTGTTTTCGCTCGATTAATGACACGCATAAGCGCATACTCACACTCGGACTTCATTCTTACTTATGGACGTGATTGCGGCCAGATGCATCCAGGTCTTTCCGTAAATGCGGTCAGATACATTAATTTTAACATAGAGCTACCAAGTGTGACGAGTACGCCCTACGTTGAGAAATGAAATAAGCTCGACGATCGAGCGCTCAGATGCATCCAAGTCCGCCCGTAGCAAATGCTGTCCCGAATCAGATCTAGGCTACCAGCCGGGCCGCACGGGGTCACCTTGTTTTCCCGGGCATCCCGGCCGTGCAAGGACCAAAGAAGGCCCCAGCAAAAAATCAAAAAAAAATCAAAAAAAAATCAAAAAAAAATCAAAAAAAAAAAATCTATGTTATGCAAAATAATAAACTGATCAGCTTTTGCCTCAGGGTCAAATTGAAATTCTTTACCCAATTTATTGTTGACTTTCAGCCCTTGAACGCGGTCAATGTGAAAACAACAAATGACAGCCATCATTGTCAATGTGAAATCGGAGTCGGAGCGCCCCAAGGTGAAGCCAAGAACATCATCAGCAGAGAGAGACATGATGTCGACCACAAGCAGATGAATGTGGTCATCGATTCACAAGTACATGAATGTGAAGCCGACATATGGCAGCCGTGAATGTGAATCAAGTCAAAGCACTCCAGTGAAATTCCCGTTTTTAGGGCAAAGAAAAAAGAAAAAGAAAAAAATCTTTAGCAAATTTGAATGAAAAATAAAATTGAAAATTTATATATATCGTCAACCAGAGCTGCCCGGTAAACCATAGTGCAAGGAAAATGAGCGATAGCGAACTTCAGAAATCACACAGCATCATACACAAGACCAGATAGTCGTGACCTCGAACCAATAGCAGAATTGCATCACGAGTTCCACCAAATAAGAACACAGCAAAAGCTCATAATTGACAATGTTCGAATAGTCTCGTCATCATCAATGAAGAACCAATGTCGATATCCTATCTGGCGCTCGGCGCCCAGACTACAAATGACAGATCCTATCTAGCCTATCTACAATGCCGCTGATGACATCAACAGCTCCCCGAGTACGAGCAGATCTCGGCCAATGCCGTACGCTTCAAGCACCAGGAATGTCTCTCGTATCACTCACAACCTCGTTCCCCAACTCACAGATGCCACATGCACCCAAGGACCACCATGCGCCCCATCCAGCATACAGCAGCGCAGCTCGGCTATGGCTGCCTGCTCCTTCCAGCTCGCCCGTGAGTGGCCAGTGTTAGCGCAGCACGCATCCAGTGCCCGAATGACCAATGCGTGGGCA